AAGTATTTCGCAGGTATGTTGATGTTATTCCTTATTATTTATGTCTTAGATTTCTCATTCTATATTTCATGGGTCGTCAGGAATCATTGAAATTTTCGGAAAGCGATGGAGAAGAATTTAATTGTCCTAAATGTAACATGACTTTTGCTGATGATTATGCTTTCATGACACACTTTGAAATAGTACATGTACGAAAGCAACAATAGAAATATCTGTTTTTAAGAGGAAATACCGATAAGATTTTCGATTAGTACATGTAATACATTATTACCTTTTTAGAAAAGCTCCATTTGAATAACGACAAACTCCTGTCCGGATACTTTTGGCAGGCCCGTGTATTAAAACTTAGTATACTATTTGAGACGATGTAAAAAGACTAGAATATGCAATGTAAAATTTCGAGTTCATCGATTATAATGACCATAGATAGATATGTACATGTATCATAATGACGAAAGGTCATTCTGACCAATCAAAATGACCATAGATAGACATAATGACGATAGGTCATTCTGACCAATCAAAATAATAGCTTACAAAATGCATTTGATTGGCTGAAGGCCATGACGATCAAATTTTTGGCCAGCATTATTATGAAAAGTATAATTTTAAATCTATATACCTCTGGTAAAAATTATCAAAAATTTCCAGGTCCCGTGATCTACGATTCAGTTTCGGATTTACCGATCATTTCTTATCGTTATGTTAGTAAAGTATCGGATTTTTGATAAATATGTTGCTTTATTTTTGAATTTTTGTTGTATTAAGTTTTCTGGTAATTATAGAGTATCCAATAATCAATGAGTTGATTATATTCATTGTATCAGTTGGATTAATCTAAAGTTAAATGATCAAATTTTTTTTAATGAATAAAATGCCCGAAAGATTGAGACCATCTATAAAAAGAGAATGTGAGGAGCATGGAGCTGATACAGTAATGGTAATGAGTAAATAAATTAATCCGACGAATTTTATCTCCATGCACAGTACCCCAAAAAGTATCGCCCGATTTTCTAAAAAATGAAATTTACGATTTACTTTATATACATAAGAATTTTTTTACCATTAACTAATACATTACTCACTCTCTATATGGCTTCGATTCCTTACGGCATCGAGCTCACATCCTACCCCAAACTAACACATTAAATTTTGACTACACTTTCTTCAGAGCATGTTCACAATTTTTGAAAAGCTTTTACACTTTAGAATATTATTTTACAATGGTTTCTAGATGTTTTCTATGAAGCCAGGTCTGGGGGAATACGTTAATTGGTTCATAATCATTAATATTCCTATTTCGTGATCTTTTTAGAATTAGGGTTAGAGTTAGAGTTAAGCTGAAACGCCATATTTTTTCAAATTAATGAGCATAATATATTATGAAAAAGGATGAAATTACCTTAAAGAATCTTCGGGTAAATTTTTACAAAGAATTTTTGTTGACAATGTCACTAAATGGCTCAGGTTGTCTTTTTTGGCTTCTTGTAAATGTGCATTCTTTTTCTTGCTTGTTAAGAGCTTGTGACCTTCCAGACCCTGGTAAATTTTCTTTTTTCCTATTTCTCTTGTATTTGGTAAGAGACCATTATCCCGTCATCGAGTCACGGATCATTTTTCTTGCAACTTGTACAGCACTCAAAACCCCAATAAAAATTACCCATTTTACCCTTGTCAAAGCCGATAAACTGGAAGCGGTGTGTGTTATATTTACGGCCAACAAATTTCGCCCAGTGTATGTTCAAAAGTTGAAGAAAGAAATAAAAAAAATTGCAGTCAACAATAACAAAAAGGGGAAAACCGCCACATTTAAATTTATGTTGATATTGCCGGGGCGTTACTTTTTGGGGTACCGGTGCTGTACATGTATACCAAGGGATATAAATTTTTCTTATTTACCCTTGCATACTTTCCACCCATTATTCGTTATTTTACATGCTATATTTAAGGATTAGGGTTTGTATTAAAATTAGAGTTTTTTTTCGCAAATTCTGAGATATTCGAAACACAAATTTTAACCTTGTTAATACATCGATAATGCTAAAATATTGAATAAAAACTAAAATATTTTAAAACGATTTTTTCATCTAACAAGAATAAAACTTAAGCCAAAAGAGAAAATCAAAATCATTATCGTTATTATCCTTTCGAAACTCGTATCAAATGAATTAGCGCTATTATCAGATGGACTACTAGTTGTCGCAATAACTACTATTTTTGATGAAGGCACAACGGTCGTAATTATTTGCACAGAAGAATTATCCAAAGTGGTAGTAATTAATTTTGTTGCGGAAGTTGCCTCAGTGGATGTAATATATTTTACGGTAGGTGATCTAATAGGACTTTGAGTTTGCTGCTGCGAAGTAGGCAAAGTATTTTTAGTAGTTGCTTGTGTAGGCATTTCATTTTGTGGATTTGTCTGGGAATTTGATTCGTTATTTTTACTCTCGGCCTTAATAGTTTGCTGGACGGATTGATTTGTATTATTAGCACTTACTGATGCAGGTGGATTATTTCCAGGAGAAATTGGCTGATTATTTTTATCGTTATTTTCTGAGCTAAAATGAAACAGATTTAAATATAATGTTAACAGAAATGTGGCTTCATTTATTCGATTTTGCTAAAAAATTATATTTCAAGGAAATATTCTATAATTAAAATCACATAATCGATACAAAATTTACCTTGGAGACGGAGCAATGGTAGGATTGTTGACTGGACTCGAAGTTGTATGCGTTACTGTCGGTGGTGGTGAGAAACTCGGAAGAATATCCGACAGATTTTGCTTAATTGTAGTCGTAGGTGCTGGCTGTGCTGGTGGTGCTGAAATAGGTTTTGGAGCAATGGTAGGATTGTTGCCTGGATTCGGATTTGTAAATGTCACTTTCGGTGCTGGTGGTTGTTCTTTCGGTGGTGGTAGTTGTGCTGTCGGTGGTGGTAGTTGTACTGTCGGTGGTATCAATGCACTAGTTGATGTAGTAGGCGGCGCGCTGCTGCTGCTCCTATCTCCAGTATCAGACGACATCACACTAAAAAATTACGATCAAATTAAAATTATAATTAATAATTTTTAACGCGTTTATTTTATTTTACATACGGTTGTTGAGATAAAACATTAACAGTACATATCAGCAAAAGTATTATTATTTTGAGAATATTCATTTTAAAGATTCGATATTTGAGGGAGACTAAATTATTTTTTTCAAAAATCAGTTAACAATAGAAATAGATAATAAAAAAATAAAATTCAGATTATTTATATAATAAGCCTCATAACAACAATATTGCGTTGAAGAATTAAGCCTTCTGTGGCTTCTGGTGAGTTTTAATTGTTACACGAACACCATTTCGACGATCCTCTTAATTTGGGTAAGCTCGGTTTGGACCACATTATAAGTTCAATGTTCTCTCAAACAAGTACTCTTATTAATATCTCGCATATTCTTTCATTTCCTCTCTTAAACAATATATCTTTCATTCTCTTTTAGCCAATTTTTTTAATATCCTATGTTCTCTCTGAATTGTATTTTCTTTTCTTTTGTTTGAGCTTGCATTTTTTCATCACGATTCTCTCTTAAACAATACTCTTGTATTTTCTTTTATTTTATCACGTTCTCTCTTTAAACAATATCCTTAATTATATCTTACATTCTTTATTAAACAATGCTTTTAATATCCTATGTTCTTTCTGAATTGTATTTTCTTTTCTTTTCTTTTTGATCTCGATCGTAGTCATATAGAAAAGTAATGTTACGTACTATGTAAAACTCCAAAAAAATGTATATAAGGTCTACGGGCCTCAACAAAGCTCAGAATTGCTGCGCACAATTATTCTCTAAGTTAAACATGACTTGTAAAATTCTCTCGTGATAATTGATTGAATTAACTGACGGTTAAGATCTTGACTCAGAAAAGGCATTTTTTAGAAGATCGACGTTAATCGATCTTGGTAGACACGCGTAATAGGAATTAATAAAGGAAATATTTTAACATACATCTACCTAAAATCCAACGTGAAATACGATATCCGTAGATATTATCGTTTAAGACTCTTGAACTGCCGTTTATAGGAAGATCCTTCACTTTTATATTGGTCACGAGATTCACGTAATTAGCAAGTTACTATCGCTATGGTGCATAAATCTAAACGTTACTGGTTTGTGTTTCGGGATCATCAAGATACGCATTCCCAAATTTGACAATGTATCCCTTTTGTTTATGCCATCCAAAACTGCTTGGTATAAACAATTCTCGAAAAGAAAATAACATGGCACAGATAACACAGAAAACGCGTCATTTAATCATAACACGAAAGTTTAATCATAACACAGAAAATTCTTACAATATATATATAAGGAGTGTGAGTGGAAGTGGAAGTGGATTGTCTATTTTTTGTCTTATCTTCCGTGGAAGAGTTTATAAGATATAACTTCAAGTGAAAGAAAGAATATGAGTATCTAAAGATAGATAAAGTATGTTCATTTTGTTGATCAGTTAGAATGAGACCAGTAGTGTTCCTATGAACTGAACTGAACTAAACTTTTGCTCAGATTTTTTGAATTCAGTTCAAAATTCAAATTGAACTCAAACCAGATTTTGGCTTGAGTTCAAGAAAGGTTTGAAGTTTGAACTTGAACTGAACTGTTATATGAGTTTGAATCTGGTTCAAATTTGATTAAAAATCAGCATATAGTATTATATACTAATTTGTAGCTCTAAATATAAGCTACAAGTACGATTTATGATATTTAGTAAGAATTAAAAGTTTACATAGTGATAAAGTATTTTTATTTTTACATTATTATCATTTTGATTAATTTTTGAAATACTCAAAGACATTTATAAAATTTAAGGAATATTCAAAGAAAAACTTTCAATATCTTAATGACAATTTAAAGTAATAATAATACTTTATGACTATTAGACTGAATGTGAATAAGTACTAAAAGTGCTAGTAACAAACTACTTAAAGATTAGTAATAGTTGTGTTTTTTAAATGCAATAATCTGGACTGCTAAAAAGAGTTCTCAAAATTTCAGAGTCAAAGTTATAGAAATTATAATATTCATATTATTAGCAATACAAGATTGAAGATAAATATGTAATATTAGTAATACAAAATTAAAAATAAGTTTATGAGCAATATATTATCAATAATACAATCTCAAAGACAAATTTATGAATTATAATAATAATTCTTTTATTTAATATAATATTCAATAGATTTCATCACAAACATATTTAAATAACTTAGTATTAAAATAATAGCTTTTATAGTATTCCTAGCAAACGTACTTAAGTTACTATAATATTAATTCAAAATCTGTATAATACTTATAGCAATAATGCTAAAGTGATTATACAAGAAACAAGAATACTTAGTTAAAGGAAGTGTAGAGAGGAGTTTGTGCTTGACTACTTACTCTATATAAAATGCAAACTATATTTCTTTGAATGATTAAAACTATGTGATAACTAATTAAATATAATAATTAAGAATTACTATCTAAAAGAACTTGTTCATATCTAATTCTAATAATTACAATATATGTTGCTTTTATACAAATTCAAAATATAGTTTATCAGTTATACGAATTCATGTTCACTATATTATTTAAATTCTATTGGTCTAATATTAACTTATTCATTTGTTTATTTGCTTATTTGTTTATTTGCTTGTCCCACATAATTAGATTCTTTCAATAAATAATAAGATATTTATAATCCAATAATATTAAGTATGAATAATTCAGTATAATATTTGATCAAAATTTGTTATATAATAGAACTCTCACTGTTAAGATTTTGCTCTGTAAAATATCTTTTCTTTTAATTAATTACTAGATTTTTGACTTATTTTTTCAATTGTTTCTAGAGTTAAATATTTGTCTATTCTATATAATCAAAGTATATTTTCATAACTTTTGAAATATTGATAAAGTCATAAAGTTAATATATATTTTGAAATAATATCTACAATGCTAATTTTATTTTTAAATAATTATTTAGATTCAGAATGTTATTTTCTAGATAACTTATAGTTACTAGTGAGATTCAACAGTATTCTTTCAATCTCATAATAAATTAAAAATGTTGTATTATTGTATAATGACCTTTCGTCATAACATTTCATATTATTGGATTATAAATATCTCATATATTATTGGATAAAGATCAAATCACGTAAAGCAAATGAACAAGCAAGTGAACAAATAAACAAGCGAACGAGCAAACAAACAAATAACTAAATGAACGAGCAAACGAATATTGAACCAATAGAATTTAAGTAATATAATGAACATGAATTTGTATAGACTAGTAATTATATCTTGAATTTGTATAAAAGCAACATATATTATAGTTGTTAGAAATAAATATGAACAAGTTCTTTTAAATAGTAATTCCCAATTATCACGTCAAATTAGTTATCACATAGTTTTAATTGTTCAAAGAAAAATAGTTTGCACTTTATATTGTTACCATTTTTGTTGGTTTTATAATTCTTTAATATAAATCACGTGTTCTTCATGTGTTTCAATCAGGTGGGAGAGTTTATAAAGATTTTTACATATTTTTATTAAGTTCAAAAGGTGGGAGAGACTAATT